GATTTTATTTGGAGGCATTCGAGTGTTATGGCCTGTCATGGTAGATGGATCCCGGAAGAGTTATGGTGGTTTAGACCACTACTAGAGGATTATATTTTCTGCGGTTATGAGAATTTGGTCTCGTGTTCTATGGTTCACCTGAAATGAATTAAATGAAAGGTTGCCATATGATAGAGTGGTTATTTTATTAGTGGATCAGGAGTTATGATGAAATTCTAGTACTTTCACGTATTGGTATGTTAGGTGCAGTGGGCAGCACGGAAATTGGAAGTTGAGGATCAAGGTTGCAGTTCATTGTCGACAAGAATGTCACGAGCTCGGATGAGCAGGGAAGGATTCAAATGTTTAGAGTAAGCTGGTATTATCTTTAGCATCACCTGAGATCGGTGTCCTGTGTAAGAGGCTTGGTGTACTGATTTGCGGATTCCCAACTCACTTTATAACATTAGCATGGCCGGTGGTATGGATATGCAGACTTGTTACCTGGCGAGGAAGGTCATGAGAGCATATCCCACGGGAAGATTGTATAAGTATGACATATAGTCACTTGATTGATTGAAGATTGAAACCAAGTATGGAGATTATGTTACTATCGCTAATGTGAGAGTTTAAGCCTGGAAGGTGTTCTATTCATTTGGTTGTGAACTATGGATGTTTGTTCCGGATTGGACGATTGTTCTTGTGCGTCATGGGAAAAAGGGTTATTGTGGATCCTTGAAAGGTTATTAGCCTAGTACGGTGCAATCAGAATCGGCTTAAGGTCTGTAGATGGATCTAAATGTGAATATAGGCTCTATACCAGGTTGGATGTGTTCATTTCAGCATAGCGTTGTTTATAGAGGAGTCTTCGGGCCTGGGATGTTATTCCGTTGTTAGCTATTCCATGTTATCTTTGTCGTGCCATGTGTGTTGTGAGACATTTTGATTATTCGCACTCGTATTGAGATCCCGTGTAGTTTGTGGTGTTGCGAGAGCAGGATGGCTCTCAAGATGCAAGTCATTTATTGTACCTTAGTTGTGCTTGAGTTTTGTAGCGTATGGAGCTATCCGTCTCCCCAGGATTTGTATTATGCACTACGCGTGCTTGTGGTTGATATTCGAGTATTTCATAGGTATAACCATTTTTTGGCTTGATGGGTATTTCCCTAATTATTGTCATATGTGGATCGAGTGGCACGCCACAACGAGTATATGGTTGGATCGGGTGGCACGCCGCCATGGGTATATTGTTAGGATCGGTCACCGCAACTGTATCATGTGTGGATCGGGTTTCACGCCGCAATAGCATGATGTTGAGTATGGTTCCCCATATCTATTCTTGTGTGTTTTGCTTCTCACTTTCTGGGGAAGGTTCACAATACCTTTTCGGTCATTTAATTAGTTACGTGGGTTGAGTAGTTCGTTCTAGAGTTCGTTTTCCTTATGTATCACATTCGAGTTTGTAGCTTATTAGCACATTGTGGAATCATATGAGGCTTTTGCAATATTTGAGGTGGCTTATTGCCTGAGCAGCTTGTACTGGGTGAGACGAGATTATTGGACTTGGGATCAGTGCAATCAGATTTATATAAGGCATATTAAAGAGTAAATATTGTTATTCGGTACAGAATGAGGTAATGGTTCTTGTCGGCAGGAGAGACTCCATAATTTGTGATTCGACAGGTTATTATGACTTCTACACATCTTCTCTGTCGTGGCAGTGTTGGGAGAGTTTAAGCAAGGCTTAATTGGTTATGAGGTATATTACGGGCTTCGGGTCAGTGGAAATTTTAGCTGTTATGCTTAGGAAAGATTGCCTTGGGCAAATGAGTTATACGGTGCATGGAATGAATTCAGTAAGGGTATGCAATCATGTTTATGCAATCGTGTTTGGTGCAGTGTGTAGTGATTGATACGATATTCGTATGATGGAAACATGCCTGGTAGAGAATTCCGGATGTTTGAATTTGACTCTAAGGCTTACTTGAGTAAATAAAGGGGAAGATCTTCAGATTGGCTCGACCTAATGAGCTCAACTGAGTTGTGGTAACAAGGATAGGTGCACAAGGTGTTAAATGGTGATTTCGGGCAACTCTAGAGCAGCACGTTCGAAGACAAAAGTATATTTAAGTGGGAGAGAATGTAACGACCCGACCGGTCGTTTTGAGCTCTAGCGTGTCATTCGGTAGTTTGAGGCCATGAGTAGCTTCACTTCAGGTATTATGACTTGTACGTATGGTCGGAATTGAATTTCGAAAAGTTCAAAATTGATTTAGAAAGAAAATTCTCACTTTAGAAGCTTTAAGTTGGAAGAATTTACTAAGGCGTGATTTTGAGTAAACGACCTCGAAATCGGGATTTGAAGGTTCCAACAGGTTCATATGATGATTTTGGACTTGGGCGTATGTCCGGATCGGGTTTTGAATGATCCGGAGTATTTCGACGCCTATTGTGGAAAGTTGGCATTTTGGAAGGATTTCGTAAATTTGGGTTGAAGTGCATTTCAATGTTATCGATGTACGTTTGAGATTCCGAGCCTAGGAATAGCTCTGTATGGTAACTCTGGTCTTAGGAGCGCGTCCGAATGTGGATTTGGAGGTCCGTAAGTCATTTCAGGGTCATTTGGCGAAAGTTGGAAATTTAAAGGTTTTGGGAAGTTTGACCGGGAGTGGACTTTTTTATATCAGGGTCGGATTCCAATTTCGGAAGTTGGAGTAGGTCCGTAATGTTATTTAAGACTTGCACGCAAAATTTAGCATTGATTTGATAGGAATCAGATGCGCTAAGTTATTTTTAGAAGTTTTTGAGTTATGAGTTAATACATGTGTTTTGGCATCTGAGTCGAGGTTTTTGATGTTATTTCATTGTTTCGATCGCGCGAGCGTGTTCGTGTGATATTTTTAGACTTGTGTAGATATTTGGTGTGGAGGCCCGAGGGCTCGGGTGAGTTTCGGACATATTCGGAAAGTGAGGAAGCTTCAATTTTTTGGTGTTCTTTTGATGGTGTTGCAGGTAGCGCAAATGCAAGAATTGGTTTGCATTTGCGAACCTTGCATTTGCAAGAAGCGCTTTGCAATTGCGAAGGAGCCTGATCTGGGCGTAGCTCGCATTTGTGAGAATCTCAGTCACATTTGCGACCTTGACAAGGTTCTCATTTGCGAGTCCTTAGTCACATTTGTGACCTTTGTAGTGGGAGCCCAGGTTCGCATTTGCGATGATTTTGTCGCATTTACGACCTTCGTATTTGCAAACCAAGTGTCGCAAATGCGATATCTGTAACCTGTGCACAACTTTATTAAATGCGGGACTTAGGCCATTTAGCTCATTTTCTTTAATCTCTTGGGAAATTTTTGGAGTTTTTGGAAGAGGACTTTCAACTAACACTTTGAGGTCAGTAATTTTTACACAAAATGAGTTAAATACATGAATTATGGGTAGTGGGGGTGAATTTTAGGAATTCTTCCGTTTAGGTTGAAAAATCACATTAGTAGTTAGGATATGAATTCTTAAACATGTATTAACTATTTTAAATGACATTTTATTAGTTTCAGGTCGTTTGGCACCGAGCTGAGGGTTTAAGGCACAATTGTAGACCGGAAAGTAAGCTTTGAGGCAAGGTATGTCTCTTTTCTAACGTTGTAAGAGGGAATTAACTCCATAAGTGAATTGAATTTATGTGTGCTCTTATTTGCGGGGGCTATGTACGCACGAGGTGACGAGAGTCCACATGTAGCTACTAATTATGCCTATGTCCGGGTAGTTTTAGGTTTACACCATGACTTTTTGATACCGTTATTTGATTATGTTTATTATTTGCCTTGAAAATAATCGAGATTGAGCATGCTTATTAATTGTCTTGAAAAGAGTTGAAATTGAGGATTTCGAAATTTGAAAGTTTTCATTTGAATTTTGCATTTTTGAAAACAATTGAGGAATATTATAATAACTTGAGAAATCTATGTTCAACCGCATCGCAAATATATTCCGAGAGCGGGGTAATTCCACTAATTTTATGGGAGCGGGCCGTTCGCCTCGCCAGGTTAATAGATGCATCTATGGTTCGTGTCGTTCGACCCTTGACAATGCACAATTTACATTTATATGTTGGATCGGGCCGTACGACCTCGACATGATTTGTGCATGATAAATCTTTGGAATTAATAGTAACTGATATTGCTTCATTGGCTTAAGATATAAATGGTTAAATGACGAAAATAAATTTGACAATTTTCTATTAATAAAAAAATTGTTTACGTATTTCTTCCTATTGAGTTTTCAGCTCTGTTATACAATCTATGCTCAATTATAATATCGATATTTTATTGTTATCCCATAGTAAGCGTCAGAATCGATCCCTCGTCACTACTTCTTTGAGGTTAGACTGGATACTTACTGGGTACGTGTTGATTTATGTGCTCATACTATACTTGTTGTACATTTTTGTGCAGGTACATATATGTCTAGCGGCCTTGTGGGCGCAAAGGTGTGATTATTTACGGGGATTTAGGTGAGATACATTCTATATTACGATCTGCAGCCAGCAGAGTCTCCTTCAGAGTTATGTATATTTTTCCTGTCTAATTTGTATTCCGGACAAATGCTATATTTTATGTTACTCCTTAGTTGATGCTCATGCACTTGTGACATCGGATTTTTGGGGAGTGATTGTGGGTTTAAGTATTTTAGTTGCGAAAATATTATCATTTACTCTGTAAATTTTATCTCTTTTTATTTACTTGAAGGAAATTTAGGATTTCAAAAATACTAAAATGAGTAATTAAGTTAAATCTTTATTGTTGGCTTGCCTGACAGTGATGTTAGGCGTCATCACGACTTTTAATAGATTTTGGGTCGTGACAGAAGGAGAAATATATTATATTAAAAATCAAACTCAATCTCACCGTAACAAACTTAATTTATTTTGAAATATATAAACCATCCATAGAACAGCAAACTCAACAATTCGTTCTAGTACTCCATTTTAAACTTAAACAAGACAAAGCAATTTAATTTATTTCCCTCAAGCACAAATATTATTCTTTCTTTTACAGTATAAAAATCAAGGAAAATTCTCTATAATATAATATTTTCAATCACAAGCCTCTGTGCGATCATTTGTTGTAATGTTAAGATTTTGGCCAGCATAAGTAAAGAAGACACCAGTGTGTGGGTAAATTGGAAGACCTCCGTTAACGTCATAGATATCGTCATGTGATTTAGAGATAACGGTAGTGTTAACTTTGGTAACAGAATCGAAATTGGGAATGCTTAGTGAAACATGAAGTTGAACACAATCACATGTATTTTCCACAGTTGCATTCCAAACTTGTTGTCCGTTGACAGTTCCGCTAAGTTTTTGTTGGCTAATTACAATTCCAGGATTGCATCTGAAACCTGAAAAAGGAAGAAGATAATTACTAGCTGTTTGTATTCCTTTTCTTCTAGTTCTTGAATATTTTGGGTATTTTATAGTCACGTGATTTTAATTAAGTATCATGTATTTTTAAAAATTGTTTCATACATATGGGTCCGAACTAAAGGCAATAGTGCGATTGCACATCTAAAAACTGGATGAAGGATGATTATTTTTCAATTAATCATATATTAATGCTAAGACTGTCCAATTATTCAAGAAAAAACATTCATATCCCATCATGTGTATCCAAACATAATAATAATAATGATAATGATAATGATAATGATAATAATAATAATAATAGCCCGATGCACAAAGTATCACGCATTCTGATTCGGAGAAAGGATGCACCCCAAGGGATGTGATGCAAGCATCATATCTGATGCAAGAGCCGGTGGATGATTCTATAGCTCGAATGTGTAATCTATAGGTTACATGCAGGCAGCTTTACCGTTACTCAAGAGTATCACAAAATAATATAAAGATAAGAGAAAATCTAATTTATGCTTTGAGTACTTGAGAGATAGAAGAATGTCTTTGTGCCTGTGAGAGAGGGAAGGAATAAAAGAAGAATAAGAAAGGTTAATACCTTCAGCTATGAAAGCAAGAGAAAGAACTAAGCCAAGGACTTTGATGAATGCTGCCATTGCTTTACTTTGATTTATTATGTTTTTCCAATGCCTAACAACTTCATATTTATAGATACTTTATATGGGGATGATTAAGGTAACATAATGAAAGGGAGGTGCCATGCTAGGTTAAAGAAAATAAAAAAGTTTAAATTTGGTTTCCTAATAAGATGATTGATTATTACTAGTATTTACCATAACAATTCTGCTGATTAAAGATTATCTAAAACTGCACAAAGAGGGAGATTTTGTCAAATTTGATATTAATAAAATTACCTTTTCTGCATCAAGATGGAAAAAAAGGAAGGGAAAAAAACAACAACAGCATTCCTCTCCCCCCCCCCCCCTCTTTCCATTTCCTTTGAAATTAGAGATTTCCACTGAAATGGCCAGTGAAGCATTACCAAATTCTGCATATTAACATTTATCTGTAACTGTATGAAAATAGAGATTTGGTCACACTTGATGTGTAAAAATGTAAGGGAGTTTTACCACTACCACAATTAGTGGTATTCTAACTGAACCGAAAAATCGCACAAAATCGAACTGTCAAACCAAAAATCGATTAAAAAATTCGATTAGTTTTGATTTGGCATTAAGTAAAAAAATTCAAATCAAATCGGTATATAAATATATAATTTTTATATATACTTTTAAAACTTTATATAATATTTTCTTTAAAAAATATCTAGAAATATTTGTGATCCTCTTATGGGATGTAACATTTAATATAATTATAAAATACATCCATTTTTATTTACTTTAGATAATGGTTGATTCTAATTTGTATAATTACTTTCTTATCAAGTTTTATTGAAATGCATCAACATCTTTGTTTTTCCATAACCATATGTCAAGATCTATCAAACTCATATTTTTTTTGAATTACTGGTAATTTTTAAAATTAAATAGACATGTTATTATTTAAGTTTCATATTGATTTTTGTATTTAATTATTAGAATTCGGTTAAGCTTGAAAACGTGACATCAATAAAAAATTATTGTTATACTAAAAAAATAACTATCATGTGTTGCTAAAAAAATAATCTCATAATAATATTTTAATAGATCATATGTTTATCAATTTTTAAATTTTTACTAAACATATATTCATTTATCAAAACTTTATATAAATCTAACAAGTAAGACTGAAAATAATAGAAAATTTTCACCCTGTAGCTAAATAATGCGCCTATTTATTATAAATTAAAAAAACTTTAAAAATAATTATTTATAACCACTTTTATATTTTATAACAAAGTACAAATATATACAATTGATCCCTCAATTTTGCCCTCAACCCTCTCTCTTCTCCCTCAAATCTCTCTCTATTTTCCATCTCTCTTCGACAAGGCCGTCTTCTTTTCTGGCGATTTACCGCCATAGCCAGATCTTTTCATATTTCTTGCGACATTGCTTCAAATTTTCTTCTTCTCTAGGGACTCTGCTTCAGATTCCAAATGCCGAATCAGTAGCCATGGCCAGATCTGTTCTCATACTCCCTCTTCAAATCTATTCTCTTTTCTTCAAATCTATCCATGGCGCGATGGAAGATTTGACACTATATTCAATATACTTAAAACTAAAAGTTTCAGATCTATGTATCATTTAAAAAGCTAGAGGCGTGATGGAAGATTTGAGGGCCAGATTTTTTTCTTCTCCATTTTTAATTTTGATACAATGTATACAATATCTTGCTTGGCCGGAAGACGCCACCTCCGGCGAACTTTCTTCTCTTCTTTGCTATTGAGTCATATACAATGATACAAATACATTATACCCTGTACAAATATACTCAATGTCACGACCCAAACCCACTATAGGCCATGATAGCGCCCAACTTCGTCGTTAGGCAAGCCAACGGTGAACTATTCAAATTCAAAAACTTTATTAACTAAAGAAATTTGCGCATTTAAAATCATGGATACATACATAATTAGTAACGAATAAAAATAAAAGGTGATAATCATATGCAAATCCATAAACATCAACTAGAATACCCAAAATTCGGTGTCACATGTGCATGAGCATTTACCATGGAATACAATAATAATACATCTGTCTGGAATGTAAATTAGACAGGAGAAAGCAAATAATACGATAGAGACTCTGTGAGCTGCGATACGATGTCTGGAATGCAGCTCACCATAAAGTCTCCTCGGCAGTTGCACCTACGCACCAAGATGACTACCAAATGAACCTATCAGATCCTGCATATTTAGTGCAGAAGTGTAGCATGAGTACGTAAATCAACGTATGCCCAGTAAGTATCTAGCCTAAACCCGGATAAGTAGTGACGAGGGATTGACATCGACACTTACTAGTGGTCCAATAATTCAATATAAATTATAAACAGGTATGAAGCACAACAAAAATAATGAGGTAAAATGGTAACTAACATAATCCTCCAATATTTATTTTGACAATATAAATCTTTCAAATCTCCTATACTATCTCAACATATCAGAAATATCAAATGCAATCCAAACGAATAAGAAATATCATATAAATGCCAGGCCTTAATAAAAAGGGAATCTCATGAATATCCGGACTGCTAGCGGTAGCATGCACGATTATGCCGAGGTTGTACGGCCCGATCTAGAGTGGTGTGTACACTGCAGAGGGTCGACTAGAGCGAACCAGAGATGCATCTCAATATACTGCCGAGGCGTTTGGCCCGATCAATAGAAAAAGAAGAAACTTATCTAATTACGAGTCATGTGCTTACAACACTGGTACATGAGCATAAAGTAAATATGACTTTTACCATTTATCAAATATCTTGCCAAACAACTCAATCTGATAAAGCTCGGCCTAATATATTCCCAAATTTATTCCAATTATAGATTCACTTAATTAAGCTGGCAAAAATGCGTTCAAATAATTCAAATATTACATGATAAAGTTCTAAGTCTACCCGGACATAAATATGCTTCTAGCTACGTACGGACTTTCGTCACCTCGTGCATACATAGAACCCAAGACTAGTAGCACATAACAATTTTAATCCTACGGGGTAATTTCTCTCTCACAAAGTTAGACAAGAGACTTACCTTGCTCCGAAGTTCCATAACCGGCTCCAACGCCTCTCTAAAACCTCAAACCAATGCACATCGATCCGAAACTAGTCAAACAATCATGCAAATCGATAAAAATATACTTCAATACTCATAATTAATCAATTTATATAATTTCCAACTCAGCTCGAAAAGTTAACTCTCAGCCTCATGCCCAGATTTCAAAAAATTTCAAAGATAAATATTACCCATAACACTACAAACTCAAATATATAATTTATTACCAATTTCATGTCCAATTTCGTGGTCAAAATTCAAAAATATCAAATTCTAGGTTTTCTTTAAAATTCCACAATTTCTGCAAATTTCTATATGTAAATCTATATATAGCTCATGTATTTAACTTAAAACAAGTGAGAGTAACTTACCTCATGATGGATGATGAAAATCTCCTCTTCAAGAGATCCAAAAATCGCCCAACCAAGTGAAAATGAGAGAAAAATGAGCCAAGCCCGTATAAAAATTAGTCTGCCCAGGTCCTTCTTCTTCGCGATCGCAGGAGATCCTTCGCAATCGCGAAGGCCAACCAATTAACTGCCCAAAATTCCTTGTTCGTATTTGCAATTGCACGGTCGAGTTCGTGATGCCTCCAGGTCCCCACTGCTTCATTTTTGCGGTCATTGAACCGCGTTCGCGTAGGCTTAATGCCTCTAAGCTTAGCTTCCCATCCATATTCGCATTCGCGACACCCTATCGCATTTGCGAAGGGCACCTCATCCTCAGCTTCGTGTTCCCGATCCTACTATCGCATTTGCGATGCATATTTTTCAGCAGCCAAAAATCCTTTGTGAATGCGTTCATACCTTCGTGTTCGCGAAGTACAACACCATGTCACGCCCCAAAACCGAGGGGCGCGACCGAAGCTCGACCGGGTAACCCCAGTCAAGAGGACCTGGGTGCCTTTCCTATCTCACGTGTTACCCCGCGTTTTCATTATCCGTTAACCAAGTGAAATAGCCATTTATGATTTTATACATTCTTACGAGATTTACATAATATATATGGTTACTTAGCGTGGTTTACAAGTTACACTGCCCAAATACAAAATACATAAGTACATAACCCACATTTCCTGTCTACGGAGCCGCTAGAGATACAAAAGAGTGTTACAATACTTGCCGGTAATAAGGCTCCGGCTATACCTTACGCAAATACCAAAATAGGATTTCCGAGAGGAAAAGCGGCATGAGCCACGTAGGGCCCCGAGAGGAAAAAGGGGCTCACCAATACAGCTGACGGAAAGTGAAGGAGTGCTACTGTTGGTGGACTGGAGTACTTGCTATAGAACCACCTACAATCATAACACAAATATAGAGCCCCGNGTCCCTTGAATCTATTTGACGAAATGAGGTCGTTTTATAACAAAAACCCCGATTTTTGCACAGCCGCGCCGCATGGGGCGACATGGTAAGGAAAAATGTGTTTAGAAACGAAACTGGAGGTGCTCTGATAATTTACATAGCCGCGCCGCATGGGGCGGCGTGGTAGTGTAAAATTCTGCGATGATTTTGGTAATTTGGTCATAACCTTTGGTATGAGTGTCCGAATGACGAACGGTTTGAAGCGCTGGAAACTAGACTCAAAGAGATTTTATTTGATAGGTTGTGAATCACTCAAATCCTTATATAACTGGAGATATGATTGTCCAAAGTGAGGTCTTGTGCACACTCATTTGCAACTTTCGTCTCTTATGAAATTTTCCAACTTGGCTTAGACTTAGGCCTCTCCTTAGACCCCAATTCACTTCTACTGTGACTTATACACTTATTAACATATCCAATTGATATCCATAATCTCCTTAATCCTCATTTGCATGCAAGATAAAATATTTGGCCTACCTTGGCACCACGAAATCTTAAATTACTAAGCAAAATTTTCTGGGGCTTTACATTCTCCCCCGCTTAAGATCATTCGTCCTCGAATGAGGATCAAGTTTCATTC